TATTTTTTGAATTTAAGATTTAGTTGTAGTAGTATAAAAAAAAAAATAGGTGAGCCGACGAGCCAAGCTGCTCGGCTTGGGCGAGTGCAGGCACGAGCCGAGCTCGCCCAAAAGGAAACGAGCCACGAGCTCGGCTCGTGCGAGTATGGGCCGAGCCGGCTCGGTTCGGCCCATTGACACCACTATTGATAATCGAATAGTTAAAAACAACTATTCTTGAAAAAGACTATACCAAGCCATGTAAAATGGAGTAACTCAAGTCTAACATGTCTAGTACTATGTTTATATTTAAGTGATATGAGATTAGAATTATGCTAAATGTACACTTTAGTGTACATTCTCAATGGCATTCACTCCTATGTGGAGAGAATCTGTGCAATATGATGTGTATCTTCAAAGTCAATTGTGTGGATTATGTCACAAGGTAGAGTGTGAACCAAAGTGTACATGTAACATGGTTCATGAGATTATTTTCTTATACCACACTGAATTTCAGAATTCCATTTCAATTAACCTCATCCTCATCGAGGAAAGTAAACCAAACCATATTATTGTTTTTATATTTAATCGACTTGAAATTTTATCTTAACGCTAACTTGACCATTCAAATGAGTTAGTTGAACATGGTACTAGAGCGGCCAAAATCTTGAAACGTCTCACCAAAATTCAAATTTTAAATTATTTTAGATGAGAGTTATGAGAGAGGTGGCAAACAGAGCGTAAAACTCCTAACTAAAGTCCAGTAGTCATTTAATACAGAAGACAAAGGGTGATTAATGAAACATTTAATCACAAAGGAAAGGATACAAAAATTTCAAAAGTTTAGAAGTAATTACCACAAATCCATTAATGAGAGCTTAGGAACCCAAAAGGTCTTCGCATTAATCACAGCTGTCCTGTAGTGTTCCCATTGCATTCAATGACCCCCCAAAATATTTATTCAAAAATAAAAAAAAATAAAAAACAAAAAAAATCCCATCCGTATGAATCAAAATCAACAATAAATTCTTTATTAATGACCTTAAATAATTGTTGTAAGTTGGATTTCCGGTCGTCTATGTATAATAAACAGATACAATTTACTCATTACACTTCCTCTTCTCCATTTAATTCACATCCATTCATCCACTCAGTTTTATCTCTCTCTCTCTCTATAAAATCTTCAACTTTCTTCTTCTCTTTCTATTGGGTTCTGCAAAAAGTTGAAGATTTTATTGGTGGGATATGGCTGCTGAGGTCAGTTCTCTGATCAGACTTATCAACGGTAGTGATTCCAACGAGTCAGCTTTAGCAGGGAAATCGACGGCCCTGATCACAAGGGACTTTCTTGGTGGATGTTCTGCTCTTGACTGTAAAGAGTTGGACCTCGATTTGCAAGTACCCTCTGGCTGGGAAAAACGTCTCGACCTAAAGGTACAATCTTTTTTTTTATTATTATTTTCTTTCCAATTAATTCTTTGATCTTCTATTTTATTAGAAAATAAAGAAACTTTCTTGAGAAATCCCATTTCTTGATTTTATTTTTTTTGTATTGATTAATTATTCTTTATTGGGGATTATGATCCCAACTGCTCAGATTTGCTTCTTTTTTTTTTTCTTTTTTTTTTGTGGGGTTTCATTAAATTTTCTTGAGATTATGTCAAGCCTTTTTACTGGTGTTATAGCTGGGAATTGATAATCAATTGAATGGTTTTTAATGTTCTTATTTTTGCTTTTACTACCTTTTTTCATCTAAGTTTTGCAGTTGTTTCTATAAAATCCTTAAATTTATTTACTTGGCTCCATTTATAGCTTGTTTGGTAGGGATTAAAATCAGATTAAAATTGAAAATATAGCTGTTATTGATGACTTTTATTAGACGGGTGGAGTCAATAACGGCCATATTTTCAATTTTAATTGGATTTTAAGGCCACCCGGGGTTTAATATTTGTAGCTAGCCTTAATTTAAGGTAATGGAGCACTTGTGCATATGATTAAATTAAATATATTAATATCATATTAGCATCCTTAATAAATAATTACTGCAAAATTAATTTAAGAATGTCAGCAGTACAATCTGGTGTGGATAGATACAATACACGTGCGTGGAATCACACACAGCATTTGATTAATGTGAAGTAACATATTTGTACCTTAATAGCAGAGAGATTATTTGAATGATTCTCTTGTTAGAAGAATTTTGTGTTTCTTATGTATTTACTAAATTCTGATGTTATTACAGTCGGGGAATGTTTATCTTGAGAAGTGTAATTCTTCAAACTTGTCATCTTCGACTTCAGAAAATAATCCTCAAAGTAGCGTTAACATTGCGAAGCGTCAAGATCTCAATTTTCCTCCGGTGCCATTAATCCCTTTTGATGATGCTGCTGCCTTAGACTTAAAGCTCGTCCTATCGTCCTCAGCATCATCGATGAAGTCATCTAATTACCAGAGCGTGTGCACTCTAGACAAAGTGAAGTCTGCGCTCGAGAGGGTGGGGAAGGAATCCTCGAGGAAGCGGTCAATTTCACTCTCGAAATCATCACCACCGCATTCAAATTCCTCGTCCTCTACAAAAGATAGTGAGATTGATCACGAGAAGTCATCGGCATCATTGGCTGCTGGATGCCCCAGTTGCTTGCTTTATGTGTTAATCTCGAAGAGTAATCCGTTATGTCCTCGATGCAACTGTATTGTGCCGTTGTCGGTGGCCGTCAAGAAACCTCGAATCGACCTTAATATATCTGGTTGAGGTTTTGGAGGTGGAGATAGGCATCAAATGATTCTGATTTTTTGTAAAGATAGAAAATTGGGTTATATTGGTATATAAACATTTTGAACCTTCTCGGGGTTCCCCTCATTGCATGTATAATTTTAGTTAATAGTATGACATTCAATAGCCTTTTCCGACAACCTTAAGATTTATGAAAAATGATTTTCTGGAGTGGTTAAAAAGTAGATAAATTGTATGGGTCCACATGATTTTTTTTTATTTTTGAAAGATTGCGTGATTGAAAATATATACTCAGGAAAAAATAGTTAGTTGAGTACCTTTGCCGAATTTTGTTGATTTATACTCCATCCGTCCCAATTATATAGGCTGAGTTTCCTTTTTCTCTTGTCCCAAATATATAGACATGTTTCCTAATATAGAATATTTTGTTATGTTTCTTTATCAATATATCCTTATTAAATATGACAATTTCTTGAAATTATTCAAATACACACATTTCCACTTCTTGAAAACATGGAACAACTCTCGTTTCTTCTTTTTCTTCAAATTCTTTATTAATTCCAACAATAATTTAGTTTTACATACTGAAAATTAAATATGGTTAAATTTGGAAAGATCTTGACAAAAATTAATTTCCCAATGACATTAAAGAAGATTTATTAATCCGTGTGAAAAACGAAACAAGCATATATAATTGGGAAAGATGGAGTAGGTGATTAATTAATACACCGGCAAATAATTATGATATAACGTGAAGAAAGGTTGTATCTTTTCCAAATATTAGTCGAGTTCCTTCACCGAATTTTGTTAATTAATTTCAAACTAGAATAAGATGTCTTTTTCTAAAGAAATAATTAGCCACTTGCATCCATGCAGTTAAGTAGGGCTATGAAAAAAGATTAACATTTTTTTTGGAAGCTAATTATGGCTGGCATTAAGTGGAGCAATTAATTATATACCTAACTTACAATAAATTCAATAATAATTGTCCATCTTACACTCTTTAAATAGCACACCTACCAAATTTGGATAATCACTACACAAGGATAATTAACCCATAAATCAAATAATGTGAAACAATTAATTAAATTGAATAATCATAGCTTTTAGCATTTTGTATGATTGGAAATTTTTTTAAAGCACTCACTGTATGATTAATAATATTATTCCATCAAAACTCTTATGTTTGAAGCCAATTTTAAATGAATGATGAATTCATTGTGACTGCAGACAAATATTAGGTCCTGTTTGATCACAACGAATTCCATGAAAAATGTCACATTTGAGGAAAACGAATTACACTTCACCGTTTAATTGTAACATGAAAATGGAAATCGAATTCCAAGGTACAACCAGTTTAAGCTGTATTTTCTTTATTTTCATGGAAAACGAATTCATATGGGTTTGGTGGGTTTTTATTTTCAACTAACATGGAATTTGAATTTCTTTCCACCTTTACCTATCAAACGGACCCTTAAATTCAAAAGTGATCTATACCAATTAATTTTTGATAAAGTATCTTTCAGTGTTAATTTTAATTAGAATTGTATATTAGTTGTATAATTAACGAACAAGATATAAAAACAATATCGAAGTAAAAAACTTTCTACTTAATTCACCTGTGAATTTAATTTATTTTTATCTTTATTAGTTGCGCATGTGTTTTTGTAGAGATATTTTAGTTGGAAAGTCCTATATTCATACGTGGTAAAATTATCCAATTGGCTCAAGACATGTTAAGAATATTGAGACTAACTCCACCTAATAAAACCGGCTTATTAGGGGAGGATTGTCCTCACCTTATAAAGTGGATCATTTATATTTTCCCAAACAACGTGGGATTCTAATACGCCCCTTCACGTACAGCGTGGATCATGCTAAACAACTGAGAACAAATCAATATTGGGTGTCACCCAACATTGCATAATTGGGCTTAGCTCTGATACCATATTGAATCCAACTCCACCTAATAAAATCGGCTTATTAGGGGATGATTGTCCTCTCCTTGTAAAGTGGATCATTTATATTTTTCCAACCAATGTGGGATTCTATAAGACACCTGAAGTCCGTAGCATTCAAGTCACTACCCTCTAGAAGTTAAGTGGGTCCACTCGCTATGTCTCTTGCACACTCGACGCCTGAAGTCCGTAGCATTCAAAGTCCGAAGTGTCACAAGTTGAGTAGAGAGTCATACTAAGTGAGCATATATAACCATCTCAATAAAGTAATTTTCGATGTTAGTTGATATTCTCGTGAAATATATCGATACTGAACTAGCGACCATCGGGACAAGATTTTCTAAATTGGGGCATGATGTCCATTCAAACAGTAAGGATGTGTGGTTCGTGGAAGAATAAGCATTTTCTCTTAATTAACACATTGGTACGATACGCAGGGACCATAAAGTACTATCAATAATGTATATAAGATGAGCATACACGTGGAATAATAATTGGACCAAATATTTTGGCTTTCAGTTTCAATGTTCCATCTCTTATAAACTCAATTTTTTGCTCTAAAAGATAAAAACTCAACTAGTCGAGTTGGGAGTCGTTATGGTCGAGATTCTCGAAAAGATGTCTTTATAATAAAAGTATAGTAGATATGTTGAACATCTTCCCTAAGTAAGAAAGATAGTGTCTTAAGCCCCCCCGGTACATCCCAACTGGCAAAAGATGAGGCTCTTAGTTGTTGGCAGTTCAGAGGTCGCGAGTTCGATTTGTGGGGCTCTTTGAAGGTAGACTTTCTCCTTGAATGCAGAAATTCTCCTGGAATGCAAGATGCAACATGTGTTGACTCGCTTGACATTTTGACAGATCAGTGGAGGGGGGCTCTTGAACCCTGGCCAGTATGGTGCACATCCCTCGGTTTATTTGGTCTGCGTCTTGAAGGGTCAAGGCGTGATCCCAAGATTAGTTGTCGAAGGTGGACACCTCGGTATTAAAGAAAAAAAAGGTAGTGTCTTAAGGAGAAAATTTAAAATAATTTTTAAGTACAAAGATGTCCCGATCATGGCATTAATAAAAATGTGGGGGGCAGGTATTTTCGTATCCAATGAAACTTGTTGAATGTTAGCATCAGTCAACTAAAACCATTTATGAAGAGAATTTAATGCCTCATTAGCTGCAATTGCAAATCAATTCAATGCCTCCGTTTGGCAGTAAAACTTTATTTTCAACCAAACAGTTCCGTATTATTCACTTATTCAAGACCGAAAGGTATCAGCAATCCATAAATGGCCTAGGGCCCTCTTCATTATGGCTGAGGTTTGACAAACTATGGCCTCATGGTCCATACTGATGTTGAGCTTTGACAAAAGTTAAGATTCGATCAGTAAATTTATGGCTAGGCTTATTTGTTGCCTCGAGCATCTTATTTCGTAGAAACCCCGTGGGACCCGCGATGTTTATTTATCAATGACGAGTCTTTTTACAAATATATGTGTTAGTAATAAGACATACGAAAATGGTTAAAACTTGACAACTATGTCGTTGATATTATATAGGTGAATCACAACAATTAGACATCTATCTATAAAAATGGTGATTTAATGATTCAATAAATTCACATGATCAATTAGATGCACGAGTCTCATATACATTTATGAGTAGGGTTAACAATTTCTTTAGACATTTCGAAATGGACCCCACGTCCCGTTAGTTTAAAGTTCTTATCGCCTAATAATGAAACCAAGAAAGTTGTTCCGTGTACGATTGGATGATTTATTCATTAACCCTATACTTTAATTAATGTTCATTACATTATTTCAAGAATTAAAAGCTTCTCACACTTGGAGTACTCCTAAGTGAAGAACCAATTCGTGCACGTTTGTTCAATTCAATGAGTTCTGGTCAATCTCTATCTCCGAATACAATTTTTCTTCTAATGGGAAGATTTAAAAAGAGGCATAGGAACACTCTGGTTACGATTTCAAGTGATAGAAAAGAAAGCATACTGTTAAGAATTGTCGAAAGCGATGTTATACGTTTCTCTTATAGATTTTATGATGGCATTACATAGAATCATTTGCTTGTGTACCTAACGCAAACCTAATATAATTAATGTTGTGAGATTTATTTAATGGGTTTTTCGTGTTTTGTAATTTTTTTACGTGAATTTACTTTATTGACCTTGACTCGAATTTCTACATTAATATTGGATGTGAAGTTTTCGATGACCGGGTCTCAACATTTTGTAGCCATGTGAAATTGCGTGATGGGTTTGTGTCAAATTGAGTAGTTTGTTGCGAAAAAATAGTGAAATTATATATCATTTTCCACTTGAGATTGTTTTTATTGACGGGTTAGGACAAGAAACTTACAGTAAGGCACGTTGGTATCGAGATTAAATGATGACCACTAATTCATTCAAGAACTTCAATTTTGAGATTCTTATTTCAAAGTTAGGTAAATCATAATTAAAGGTTGACTACTACTAGCAAATTAGCAAATCAACGATTGGGAAAAAAATAAAAAATAAAAAAATTGTAACCACATTTGGACCTCATAAAGAATTGGCCCACAGATAAAATTTTTGTGTACAAAAAATTATCGATTTCATAAATTGTGTACTATTAAAGCCCAAAGAGCACGTTTTTTTTAAAAAAAAAAAAAAAACTTTGTGCACAATTACTACATTTTCAACATTTTTGTAATTTATTCAAGGGGATTGTAATTCGCTATTTGTTATAAAGGATTTCTTTCCAAAAGTTAAGATTTAATCAAAGATCATTTCACATAAGCAAACATAGACGTTGTTTAAAAAAGGATGAATATGATACTCAAACTCGGAATAGGGGAGGTGGTTTGGTTTGGCTCTGTTGTTGTTAGTGGTTATGTTGGTGGTGTTGTCAGGGGCGGAGCCAGCCGAATGAACTAGGGGGGTCCCGGAGTTGAAGGGGTTCGGGGGCAGCGCCCCTGAAATTTTTTTTTAAAACAATATGTGTTAAAATGAAAAAAGTTGGTACTTTGTAATAGAGAAAGAACACAACGGAATATAAATAAATGTACGAAAACTTA